ATTTACTCTGAGCATTAGAAAACTTCATAAGTCAATATTTTAACATTAGCCTGTGTCAGAATATCCACCAAACCAAACATCAAAAACCACTAAAACTTGATTTTTAAAACACTGTTTTAAGTATAACACATATAGAGGAGTGCACAAAACATAAATGGAGAACTCCATGAATTACAATAAAGCAAATACTCATGTAAACACTAGTTAGATCAGTAAACAGAATATTGTCATCACACTGGAAGACCTCCTGGTGCCCCTGCCAATTATTATTCCCTTTCTCCTTCCCATTGGTAACCACTGCTTAGTTTTGCCCATCTTTCATTATGATATGAATAGAATCATATTGTATGATTATGTTACTTCTGGCCTTTTTCACCCAACACTGATAATTATCCATAATATTGTATAAGCTGTAGTTTTTATTGTTGTTATTATTCATATATATTCATGTTATTATTCATGTATATGAATAATATATATGAATATCTGTCTTTATTGCTATATATAATTTTCAAAAATTTTTTATCAATTCTACTATTGATAGACATTTGAGTTATTTTCAGGGCTGTTTTGGGCTGTTATGAATAAAACTGCTGTGAACATCCTTGTACAGGTCTTTTGGTGTAAATGCACCATTCTGTTAGGTATATAACTAGGAGTGGAATTGTTCGGTCACAGACTAGTAAGTGTATGACCAGCCAAATGAAAAAAGTAATGCTAAACAGTATTCCAAATAAGTTGGATAAATTTACACTCCTACCAGTAGTGTATGAGAATCCTCTATTCCTCTATATCTTTGACAACGCTTGGACTCATCAATCTTTAAAATTTGTGGTGATATCTCATAATTTTAATTTGCATTCTGTTGAATGAGTAATGATGTTGAGTACCTTTCCATACGTCCCTTGGTCATTTGGATATCCTTTTCTGTGAGGTGCCTAACACCAAAACTTGATTTTAAGACTAAAATTTGAATCATCAACCAAAGAAGTCTACTAAATTCTAGGTTAGTAACTCAAAACAACAATATGTTAAGGAATTACCAATTATATTTACCTAATTTGGAAGGTTATGGGTATATAGAAATGTTTCTATTATATGATTTATTTGGGTTAGTATTTCCAGAAAGTGAAGGGGTTTTTATCCACTTGTGTACCCATTCATTCATTCACACATGCATTCATTCAAAAATTATTAAACACCTATTTATGCCAGGCACTATATTCAACATTAGGTTTTATCAAAGATGGATGTGAAACACCCAAGGTTAAGCGTGAGCAGTGCCAGAGGGCATAAACAAGCTTACTGAGCAGGTACCCCAGACCATGTCATCCATCTCTGATGCACCAGCACCTCAAGTTCAGTTCAGACCTATGGCATGGAAAGCCCCACAGCCAGTCCTCAGGATGATGTACAGCTGCTGCTACATAAGGAGGCAAGAAGGACTGGGGGTCATTTAGTATTACCTTGCCCAATTTTGCCAGTAAGTGGACAAGTACCTTAGGTATAGTCTAGAAAGGACATGGCAGATAGGGCTCAGACTCTCAAATACAAGGGTCTAGGTCAGCGGTTCTCAACCTTCCTAATGCCGCGACCCCTTAATACAGTTCCTCATGTTGTGGTGACCCCCAACCATAGAATTATTTTTGTTGCTACTCGATAACTGTAATTTTGCTACTGTTATGAATCGTAATGTAAATATCTTTTTGTTTTCCGATGGTCTTAGGCGACCCCTGTGAAAGGGTCATTCGACCCCCAAAGGGGTCGCGACCCACAGGTTGAGAACCGCTCGTCTAGGTCATCCCGTCAGAGGAAAAGAAACCTGCACGTGGTTCATTGAGGAATCAGCTTGGTACCCGGACTGCAGCTGTACTAAAGCCCCATTCCCTCTGCCCAAACCTGTCTCCTCCCTCTCCTGGAGGTGCTGGTGCTAAGAATGCTCACCAGTAAACTTCCTGCATGCTGATTTCTATCTCAGAGTCTACTCCCTGAGAGATCCAACCTACAGACCTAAAAGAGTATTCAATGCAAAACCAAACTGCCCTCATAGACCTGTAGTCTTGCTATATATATGTGTGTGTATTTGGGTTAATATGATTAGAATGAAGAAGTTTTAGTTTCATTAAAAAAAAATTCTTCCTTCACTATTTAAGCAAATTTACATAAGAGAGGTGTTATCTTTTTAAAATAAATTTCAACTGTAAAGTAAATATAAAAAATAAAAAATACATATTCAGGGTGATTATGCAGAAAGAGTTTATTAACATAGCAAGCCCCAGAGTGCTATCCTTAGAAAGGATTGCTTGCAGGCTTGGCCGTTTGCTGGTGTCTGGGAACTTAATGGCAAACATTTTCCTACACTGATATAAAACGTCCCTAAAATGAAAAGAATGGCTCGATGTACCAAAACCGTACAAACAATATGGTTTATGTGAACATCTGATTTCCTTCTGGGAGTCTGGAATTTTGGTATGTGCTAGGCAGAGGGTATCTCTGTGAACAACCCCCAGTAAAACAGTTGGGCACCTAGTATATAATGAGTTTCCCAGGAAGATAAAACTTCAGGTTGTTGTCACCACTCACTGCTGGAGAAATTGTGTTCTCTGTGACTCCACTGGGGGACTCTCAGAAATAAGTTTGTTCCTATTGGGTTGTTGGAAAAGTCATGACACACGTTTGTGACAGATGGCACTAGTTCATTTCTGGAAGTACTAGAGTCATTCGCATCAATATTATTGCTATGTCATTTGACAGCTGACAGTTCTAGCTTCATTCTTAAAAAAAATTGAGCAATTTGGTTGAGTTTTGGAGATTTTACAACAAGTTGAAGATGGAAGACCAAACTGTGCATTTTTGCCATATTTTACTCTTTTACTTCCATAAAGGGAAGAACACGTGTCAAGCTTGTGAAAAGCGGCATAAAGTTTATGGTGACAATGCTCTACAAGAACGTCAGCGGCATAAAGTTTATGGTGACAATGCTCTACAAGAACGTCAGTGTCAACGATGGTTCACGAAATTCCGTGCTGATGATTTTTATCTCAACGACGCTCCTCAGTCAGGGAGGCCCACCGAGATAGATGATGACAAAATAAAGGCATTGATCGAGTCAAACCCACATTACATGACACAAGAGATTACAGAAACATTGAACATCCATCATTCAAGCATTCACGACCACCTGAAAAAAGCCGGGATACATAAGCAAGCTTGATATTTGGGTTCTGCATGAACTCAAAGAAGTTCATTTGACAGCACGTATAAACATCTGCAATATGCTCACTAAAGGTGAGGAAAATGATCTTTTTTGAAGTGACTGATAACTGGTGATGAGAAGTGGATTGTTTACAACACTGTGGTGCACAAACGGTCTGGGTCCCGACATGATAATTCGCCTCATACACCATTGAAAGCAGACATTCTTCAAAGGAAGGTTATGCTCTCAATGTGGTGGGGTTTTAAAGATGTTGTGTTTTTTGAGCTTCTACCAAGGAACCAAACAATCTATTCAAATGTGTACTGTCAGCAACTGGACAGTTTGAACAGATCCATCATCCAGAAACGTCCAGAGCTTGTTAATTGTAAAAGAGTTGTGTTCCATTGCGACCACGCGAGACCACACACAAGTTTGATCACCTGTCAAAAATTATTGGAGCTTGGATGGGGTGTGTTGCCACACCCACCATCCTTGCCTGACCTTGTGCGGTCAGACTTCCACTTGTTTTACTCTCTTCAAAACTCCTTGTGTGGTAAAACGGTTCAATTCAGATGAGGCTGTAAATCAGCACCTTGTTCAGTTTTTCACAAATAAAGACAGGTCCTTCTGTGAACAAGAAATTATGAAGCTCACTGAAAGATGGCAAAAGGTTATCAAACAAAATGGGCAATATATCATTGATTGATCTTTGTCCTTTATATAAATAAATGACCTTTGAAAAACCTAGGCAAAATACATCATGACTTTTCCGACAACCCAATAGCTTCCAACAAAGCTCATCCCACATACCCTTTTCTTTTGATGATTTTGCTTTGTATCCTTTGGCTATAATAACTCTTAGCCATGTGTATAAATATATGCTGGGTCCTATGAGTGATTCCAGGGCATCATGGAACATGGGGACAGTCTTGAGCACCCCCTAACATAGAGGTATCATAGTTTTCAAAGAGAGGTCCTTTTCCAGAATTCACTTTAAATGTTTTAACATTATATTTCCATTGATGAAAATGTACAAAGATAATGAGTTATAGTATAAAGTAGTTATGACTACTCAAAGAATATATTTTTATTCTTCTAGCCAAATATTGGACAAATGTTGCTATCCCATGAATCTCCACCCAAGAAACACTATATTGTGTATACATTGAATACCTATGTTTGGAAGGATTCTGACATATATAGCTAAATTATATTTTGGTTTGCTTTTCATATATTGTTAAGCTATATATGAATATATTCCCCTAATGGGATAAGGCCATTTAAGACAAAGATTGCCTGACTAACTCTTCTGTACTTAATACAGGACTAGGAAAAACTGTGTGAGATATAGCCTCCTAAACCAAGAAAATGTTCTTCTGTTCTTTATTCATCCTAAATTGTTTTTGTTTACATAGGAAAACATAGTTTGAACTGCACTGTCATCTATATTTACTTCAGTGTCCATATTTGCTCACCAAAAATATTAAGGTTGATAATTTAATTATATTTATATTGCTGTTAATGGTGTAGTTTTAAGCCCTCCTTTGAGACAGTATTGTTTTAGCTTAGAAAATAAGGACTCATCATGTTGGAGGACAAACAACTGTTCCTGGCATCTACAAAAATGTATATAAATAGTGAATGGAGAGCAGAAACCTCTTTAAGTCTTTCACCATCTGCTATTTTATATCACTGCTATAAAATCTAGAAGTTCAACCTCCAAAATATAATGGACACCTGTTTTATCAGTTCCATACACATGCAAATATAATTAATTAGAATGGAAAGATAGAGTTAGACTTGCATTTTCACTGGATTATCTTTCATTCTAGGTTGATTCATCTGTTGTCTTTTAGAAAGCTGGTATGAGCCAGAGACCTAAAATACAAACATTTGAGCATTTAACCTCTTATTTCAAAATTTACTTTGGAGATAAGAGGAGGAGTCAATTTTCAGCTCTTTCACAACCAGGTCTGTTAGCAGCATGTATAAGAGAAGCTAGGATAATGGGAAATTCTGGCCCTCTCCAGGTTATAAGGCTTCTGAGGATTATGGAAACCTCTTTATCTCAACCACATGGTCCATACGATTTTTAAGATAAACGTAGAGGAAAATTGTGAAAGTCATATTATCCATGTGGTGTAGATCATTAAAATATTTTGTAATAAACTCTAAATATAAATAATACATGCACTCTGTCATTAAGGTAGATAAGACAGTAGAAGCTGTGGTTTTGTTAAATGAAAAGATATGATCATGTTTTCATTTTTATCTGTTTTGAAATACCACCAGGATACAAAAATTGAGACTTCTGGTGGGTGGTGTAAAAATAATCTGGAACAAATATAATTCAGGAATTGGGGCTGATGACCTTAGAGATGGCAATTGAAGCCACGAGTAAATGAGATCATTTGTTAAGAGCACACATAGGAGAAAGTTGATGATACAAATTTGGGAAAGCAACTTTTAAGGGCTAGGAGAATCACTGAAGATTTTCAGGGTTTTATAATAAATTATAATAAATAATAATAAATTATTATTCATAATTTAAATAATAGAAACAATAGGAAAATCCAGGAAAAAATAGTGTCATGGAAGTAAAGAGGGGGGAATATTTTACAAAGTGAGCATACTAAGCAGAATGAAATGCCCCAGAGATGTCGACTACCAAGAGGCTTGAAAAGAACTCATTGTATTTGCCTATTAAGAGGTAAACACCAATGGTGGGGTCAGAAAGGAGCTGAAGAAGGTCAAGGAGTGAAAAGCAAAGGCAGTGAGTACATCCACTCTTTCATGAAGTTTGGCTGAGAAAAAAAAGCTCAGGTAGTATTTTATGAGAACAGTCAGAGTAAAATAAAAGTTTATTTTGGTGGAACAGGTGAGCATGTTGCAAACAAAGGACAACCACAGCCAATGGAAGAGAGATTAGAACTACAAGAGGAATAATAATTAAGTAAGTTTTAGAGGCAACAGATAGACTTGGGAAGAAGTTCGGGATGTTTTGTCTTTAAGACAGGAGAAGGAACAGGAATGGTGGGTAAAGATATGAATACATTTGAAGGCAATAGGGAAGACCATTGGATTTCACACCCAATGAACCCTCTTCTCTTTGTGTTAGATCATTTATTAGATGTTAAATCATTTGCTAAGAGTGACAACTTCGGGCACTTTGGACCAGAAGATGGAATTCACTCATTTATTCACTCAGCACATGTTACTGAACATCTAATATGTGTCACCACTAGATTAGGCACCTGAATATACAAAGCCAACTCATGACTCTTACAATCTGTCATGGAAACAGCAAAATCAATAGACTGTAGCGTTCACTGCCTTGGCAGAGGTTTTCACAGGCGCTTTGTAAGCATACAGCAGAGGCAACTAATTCAAGCTATGGGGGCTCCACGTCAAAGTGTAGCCATTTAAGAACTAGGGGAAGGACATCCCAGGCAGAAGAAGCAGCAAGGGCCTAAAGGTATAAAGCAACGTGATAGATGCAGGAATTGCATGTATCGTTGGTCTGGCTGCAGGACAGGGTGTGTGTAGGGATACGGTGGAGAGGCAGTCGCTAGCTGTCAGAGGGGACCCTGGAGACCATACCAAGCAACTCTGCCAAGACCCTTCAGACAATACAGTCACTGAAGGCTTTAAAAGGGGAACGACACCAGAATATCTGTATTTCAGAATGATTGCTTGGGCAGCAGAGAAGAAAAATGAGTATGGTGGGGACAAGACTTTAATAGCCATGCTGCTGAGGTTATATCTCAAGTCTGGATCTAAATTTGGGGAGCTCTATTTTCAAATGAACAATAACAAAAAGAGTTGTCCAAAAAGGCAACAGAAATAGCTGGATAGCCTGGTAACTAATGTTACTTGATATTTTAGCTCAGCAAAAAGAAACTATGAGAAGACTGAGCTGTTTTCAAATATTTGAAAACCTGTCATGTAGGAGTGTAGAACAGTTTTGTGTTCTTCAGAGGATGGAACTAAGCCCAAAAGGTTTAAGGAAGTTTCAAGGAAGGAGAATAAGGAGCAGCAGATGAGGCTTTAACAATTCTACCAGTTGGAATTGCCTAACAATGACACAGAATGGCCTCGGGTTCCTCATCTGCACACAAAAGCATTACATTCACCCACCTCCCAGATATATCGCTTGGACTCTATGGTTTAAGTTTACCATGTGTTGCAACAAACTCTAGTCAGTCTCTCTGCCTGACTTTGAAGTGATGCGGTGTACCTGAATAGTTTCCAAAAGCCATGTCTCTACTGTACACACACCGTAGAAACAAAAAGAATCCTGAGATGTGGAAACTCAGTTTCAGTCCAAAGAGTGAAGACAGAAGTATAAACAACAGACTCAGCAAATGTCTCTTCATCTACTAAAGAATCAATTATTTATGTATTCGGTGTGGAAAGAATTGCAAATTATCCATTGACCTTTCCAGTCACCAGAGTATCCACATGGTCAGACCATCTTTGACTACAAAGATTAACAATTCACTCCAGAGTGAAAATCCTTATTAACATGTATACTAGAGAACAGGATTAACATCGTCCTGGAAAGCTGTTAAAATAGGCTTTAATTGTATGTTCAATGATTCTGTTTAAGACTAAGAACTACTCTACCTAAATGAATTTTTCATATAAACAAAGGTAAAGGAGGAAGGCTAAGCAAGTAGAAATTATGATGCCCCTGTCACAGAGAAAGAGGTTAGGGAGGTCAGGGAAAAAGAAAAACAGGAATTTAGTATTCATCATTTACTGGAGTTTATGTGCCAGGTCAACATTTTACATACGTTAGGTCTCTGAACACTACAAATCCCCTGCAAGATGCTACTACTATCTCCCTTCTACAGAGAACAAATAAAAATGAAGACCCAAAAAGGCCACGCTGCAGTAAGTACAAAGTTGGGATTCAAATCCAAATTTGCAATGGCTCCAATGTCTACGGTCTTTCATCATAGCATGGCCTCATACAGAAGGTAGCAATTATACTAAACCTTGAAGGAAGCAAAATGGGCATGTACGAGAACCAGCATGTTCCAAGTCTGCAGAGTCCATAGTCTGCGGAAAGGCATGAGGGTAGGGTACCTGCACTGCAGGAGGAAGCAAGGCTTCCAACCGAGTATCCAGGGCCATCAAGTTTGAACCGATTGTCCATTTTATGGGTAAGAGACTACAAGGAGTAATCTTATTTTGTCTCAATTTCCTGCTGACCTCAGTCAGCCCTAGAAGTCCAAGCCTTCCTTTACCCACTATTGCCCTGATGTTAATTCTCAAATCATTCCCTACATCCACTTACCAACTCCAATCCCCAATCCCAACCCCCTTTCTCTCAATCCTTTCCTGGATCCTCTGCAGTCTCCAGATCAGTGATTAGCAGATTATCTTTATGTCAGACCCAGCCCCCCAGCTGCTCTACCTCCCTGCCCCACAACCCCCAACTATGTCCTAAAGACTCCAATCCTTTTTTTGGCTCTTTTTCTCTTGACTATCACTGTTGGAATTCTTCAGAGCTATATCCTAGACTACCTTTTCTTTTTACCTTGTGTGTTCTCCCTGATGCATATCATCCATTCACATAGCTTCATTTATTTTCTACATGCTAATAACGTTCAAGTCTCTATCTCCAATCTTTATCTCTTTTTTTTCTGAGATTCATATATTCATCTGCTCTTTGATCACTTCCATTTGGATAATGCATATTGAACACTGAACTCATATCCTAATCTTAAAGCATATACCAAAATAAATAATATGGATTAAATAAATAAGGATTTAATTTTTAAATGTCAAGTATTAAGGCATATAATTACTAAAAAATGTGATGAATATTACAAAACATTGAGATGAAGACAATCTGTTAACGTATGACATCAGAAACCATAAATAAAAGATAGCTATGACAGCATAAAAACAAAAACTCGTATAATGCCAACAACATTATAAATCTGAAAGACAAATGAAAAGCTGAAAAATGTCTGTGACATCTTTCATAATTTACAGATCACTTTTCTGTCCTGTCATTTGTAAGTAACACCCTTTCTAGCAATTGCAATGCTATATCTATCCTAGACCTCACCATGCATAATAATAAAGTAAAATGCCTTAAATGTCATGATAGCAGAGGGAACTGCTTGAATTCTAGCAATTATAGATTAAGCTAAAAGAATAACTAAGGAAGTAAATATGCAAAATATTTTCTTAATTTGGAAATGTTTATCTTTTTTACCTTTTTGTAAAAGTTTTATATTTTCCTTTTCATCCTCCATCTTTAGAAACTTGGTACCTTTGCTCTCATAATTCCAACATTTCTCTACCAAACCAAACCAATCAAAAATCTGGAAAAATTAAAACCATAATTCACAGTATGAGGAAACTCTTAGAATTCGGAAGTACAAAAACAAAGGTTACCTGAGACATTTCAGCTAGGCATGCACGGCGCTCACTGTTGGTCTTGTGGTAAGCCTACATGAAAGATACAAAGCACAGAACCCAGTATCAGAGAAGATTTGCAATACTAGCAAGACTAGTACTAAGTTATAGCTCTCTGCTGTTTTATACTAAAATTGTATGGGAAATAGTTTTCTAAGTATTTTATGATAATCATATAGTAGGTTTGTAGATAACACACTAAAAATCATGGCAGTTTCAAAGGAATTTCTCAGTATAGAATAAAAACAAACCTTTGACTCCTGTTCCAATTTCAGTGCATAGACTTTCACTTGATATTCAAGACTCCTTTTTTCTTTTTCTAGTTGTTTAAGTAATATATTTAAGGATTCCTGAAAGCATAAACAGTAAATTTTTACATGTTCTCATATTCTAAACGACAATAAAAGACCATCAGCTTCTTTAATGGCAAATGCCTTCTACCCCATATCATTCTGTGACATTAAAATTCAAAAACATGTACCTTTTGAGTAACAGTAATAGTAATAACTACAATATTTATTGAACCCTAACAATACTGTGCTAAGTGCTCTCCACAGATTACTGTATTTCATTTAATCCCTATTGCAGCCATGGAGATGGCTAATATATTTATTTCCATTTTACTGTTGAGAAAATAGCATCTGACAAAGATTAAATAACTGGGCCAAAGACACACAGCTAATAAATGGTGGAGCTGGAATTAGAACTCAGGTAACCTGAGTCCAAAGGCCACATGTGCTAAATAATGATTCTATGTATAGTCATAGGATGGCTACCAGTATAACAAAAGTAGTGTGATAAAAGAGAGAATAAGGTTGATAACCAGGGAACTGTAAGAACACTGCAGAGTAGGACAGTCCTGGAAACTAAGACCTTAATCCAGATACCCACCCTCATCACAAACAGCTGAAGCTGAATAAGAGGAACAATAATGGATTGCACCAGTTTGGTTTAAAATTTTAATTCCCAAACTAATAACTGATCATTTCAACAAGTCCAATTATCTCTCATATTCTTACCCATTAAATCAAAAAATCTGCAAGTCAAATTTTACACAACTCTTGGTCATGATCTACGCCAGGGGTTGGCAAACTTTTAAGACAGAAGAGCCTCCAGGGGTCAGCAAACTGTGGCTCGCGAGCTGCAGGCTATGAAGTAAAATTTAAAATGAAAATAAAGCTATCATAGTTTCATTTATAAAATTTTTAAAGAATATTATTCACATAATGGTGATTATGTAAAAATATGTTTATGGCTCTCGAATAATTTTTAAATTGTTGTGAGGGACAGGATTGGCTCTTCCAGGGGTCAGCAAACTTTTGAGATGGAACATAGCCAAAGAGTTGCACGTGGCTCGCGAGCCGCAGTTTGCCAACCCCTGATCTAGGCCACTGAATCTATTAAAGGAAACACTCGAAGAAAAATGGAAGTGGCTGATTTAAGCCTCCACAAAGAAAACTCCAAGATATTGTAGAACTCATACCCTTCTCCTGAAACAGCTAATTCTCTAAAAACTTTACTTATTTTCTCTTAGCTACTTGTTAATAATCATTAGAATTTTAAAGAGTGTATAATATCAATAGGATAATTAGATCAGCTGAAACAGAGCAAGTTCTGGTCTCTAAAAATAATACCAGTGGTACAAATCCCTTGGAAGTGACAGTTCTCCACTATGCGTATTTGATTAACATCCCTGTTAAAACAATCAGCTGATACTTCTCAGGCAGACATTATTTGTCTTTGAAGATTACCCATCATAAATGGCTTTCAGTCTCCCTCCCCCAAACACAAACTTGCTCCAGAAGAAAATCAATGAAAGCCCAACAAATGTAAGAGGCAAAACTGGGTTACTTTATAGAACATGTAATCCTTGTGAAAGAAACCACTGCTTAAGTATGAAGAACGTTTGAAGGATAAGCAGGCAGCAATGAAAGGGGTTCAAAATTTTGCTGCCTGGACCCTTGCTCCGAAGAGTCCAAACTTAGGCAACCATACATAGTAATACAGTTCAGTTACATCGTTTCTTAAATAAATTTTTATAGAAGAGAATCTAATGCTTTCTAATGTTGTTTCAATGGGAACGTGCACTCAAAGTTCTAAAAGAAATTAGCTTACAAATAAACTTTTGGAATGGAAATTATTTTTATATTACAGATAACCTGAATGAGATATGATCCAAACCTCTAGAAGCTCACACAAGAAATGTACATACAAAACAGGTAAAATTAACAGTCATATATGATTAAATACCAAAATGTAAAACATAGACAGTAAATGCTTCACAAGTTTTTAAAAGAGGACATTTAATATGGGCTAGAGCATTTAGGGTCCCTCAAATGGGAAGATTTAGATAAGCAAAAAGGAGATAGTGGAGCCATATACTGATCAGAGGCTTTAGTGAGAAATGATTAATCAGTGATAATGAAAGGGCTGAAGCAAAATGAGCAGTAAATAAGAGGCGAAATAAAATAACTAGGGAAGGACACAGCTACAGAAGGTTTTGAATGCTGGGCCTAGGAGTATGAACACTGGAAGCTACAGGAATTACTAAAGGAGTCAAGGACGAAAGCAGGGGTTTAGGCATGTCAACCAAGTGGTGGTTTCTATGACAGATATTTTGTTGTTTGTTGGTGTTGATTTGAGGCTAATCTTTGAGGCTTAAACATTGTTAATATATTTGCTTTGTGTTAGACTATATTTTGCTGCTATTCTCATCCTGACTAGGTTCCTTGTTTTGTTGCCTAATTTTACAATTCATTCATTTATCCAAAAAACAGCCATCAGGTACCTCCTATGTGCCAGGCATTGTGCTGGAGATACCACAGTAAGAATTACAAACCCTGGGCCGGCAGAGTGGCGCGGTGGTAAAGAGCTGGCTTGGGACGCCAGAAGGCCCTGGTTTGGATACCACATATGAGGGCCAGTGACACTGCCCTCTTCAGCTAAGATGCTGAACAACAGCTCAACCTGGAGCTGGGCTGCCGTGAGTCGCCGGCGATGGCATAGGCTGCAGCCCTTGCTGCAGTGGGTTGCCATGGGCTACCGTGTGTAGCCAGCAGCCAGCGTGAGCGGCCAGCAGCCGCAGTGAGCGGCCGTCCAGAAGCCGGTGACTGATCTGCCTCGCCCAGGAAGAGCGCAATGATGGTGCCAACTTGGGCCAGTGAAGCAACGTCCTCCACAACTAGACTGAAGAACAAAAGGACAGCAACTTGTCTGTTCCCCTTCCCCCAATTCCCCAAAAAAGAAAAAAATCTTAAAAAAAAACAAAAAGAAAAAAGAATTACAAACCCTGACCCATCCCCATGAAGTTGACAGTCTCATAGGGGACATAGAATGTTTTTTATCTTGGTGAATGTTATATGTCAGCCTGAAAAGAATCTGTTCCTGCTGTTGTTAGATAGGATATTCTATAAATGTCAATAGATCAAGTTGATTGTCTTCTTCAGGTCAACTATATATTTATTGGTTTTTTTGCCTGTTTGATCTATCAGTTACTGACAAGGAAGTGTTGAAGTCTCCAACTAATAGATTTGTCTATTTTTCCCCCAATAATTCATCACAATTACCATTTAGTTGTTGCTACCAGCGTATGTTTCCAGCAGCTCTGTTCCAGGTAAGCAGATCTCAGTGACTAACCAGATTTGTCTGTTTATACAGATTTCAGGGTGGAAGTTTGCCCTGCAAACTCGGTTCTCTAATGGATCTAGAAGAGCCATTGATGATCACGTTTTCACTTTTCATTGTTGTTCTAATGGAAGGATTGATAACTTCCAAGGGCTACACATATGGGAGGTGAAGCCAGAAGTTGCAAACTCTTTTTGACCCTATTTCTAATTAGAAGGGAAAGCTCACATCCTCCACATCAATGGCTGCACACCCTATACCTAAAGACTTATCCACCTGCTTGAGCAGTGAGACCACATCTGGCACAGCTGCTGCTGTTGGGGCTACTAAGTGGTCATGTCTGCGGGAGCCTACAGGCTTTCTCCAATATCCATCCCATTTTTCAGGGGCCAGCCTGGCAAATTAAACAGAGCTCAGATTGGTATCCACTTCCTTGCGTCTTTGAGGTCTTTAACTGTGGAGCCAATCTTCGCTGTCCTCCCTGGTGTGAGAAATTGTTTTCGGTTTACGATTTGGCCTTGGGTAGAGAGGGCAGAGTTTTTAAAGTTTCCATTTGGTCTTTCCCACCATGATAGCTTTTATTTCAGGGATGATGGCCTGACATGGCTGTCAACTTCAACTGCTAGGTACTTGTATGTCTGTTTCAATTACATCCTGTGGAGCAGGGGAGTCTGTCGGCACCTGGGCCCAGCGACTTGGACTTAGGGTATGGATTCCCATTCTGACGATCAATGTCGACTCAGACCTCAAAATGCCTGGTTACTTCCTGTCTCACAATGTACAGTCATCTGTGTAAGTGGCCAGAGGTCCCTTAGGGGGGTGGGATTAAGACTGATGGTAGTGTCAGGATATAAACTTGGACTGGTATACAATAATAAGGTCCCTTCTCCTAGAACTCAGCGACCTCTTTGGTCAATGATTTCTGGATCTGAAAATTTGTTCAGGTCTGAGAAATGAAGAAAGAATTATGCTTTCCATTGGGTTAACTGTCCTCAGCCTCCAGAAGTCTTGTTTTTTTTTGTTTTTAAATTATAGATGTTAAACAGCACCCTCATTCATTGGCCTAGTAGCCAGGAGAGAAGGTGGAGGCAGCTCCTGGCAGGAACTGTTGCCTTGTTGAGAAGTGGCCTCTGCAGCATCTATCTTCCAGGACAGTGAGGGTTCTAGCTCTTAACAGTGCTAGAGGTGGGCCCCCTCTATACACCCAGAGGGTCCAGGTAAAGCTGTAGGGTCAACAACCTCTGGGCATCCATCCAGGTGTCCTGTCACGATTTCCAGGACCCCTGCTTGTTCCTATCAGGGCCCTGCACTGCACTTAACAGACCTGCAGGGCCTGAAGCTCTCACAACTGAGTCTTCAGCCATGGTGTTCTATTGTGTCTGCCCTTCCACTCCTGGTACAGGAGGCTGCTTTGGAGGCTAGCACCAAGGCTCTGCCTTCCACTTTTCGATATGAAGTGCTTTGTTAACTGTTCTCGGTCTCTCATTATCCTTACACAGGGTGTCAATACAACTTAGCAATAACCCCGTATTTTCTAAATGCCTGCATCATGGCTTCTTCCACAGTACACCCCTCCACCAGACCATTTTGCAAGGTCACCATCAGTGAAGTCTTTTAGCAATTGAACTGCTACACTGGTGCCACATCTACCAAACAGCACCATCCTCTGCCTGCCATGCAGAGTCAGTCAGTCCCAAATCCCCGTCTTACCTCCTGTTTTCTCAGT